ACGAGGACCGTCCTCTTCTTCACAGGGGCTGCACAGCAAGACCATGTGCTGGAGGAACAGATATTTGCTGGCCTTTGCCAGTAAGACTGGGAAGAGGCTGAAGCTCCTTTAACTGTCCCGTTTCCCTCTCACAAATATCAATGCCTATGTAATAAATAAAAAAAAAAAACCAACCACATATATATCCCAATTTTGGGGTGGAAATCCTTTATTACAATTATTCCTGTTAGTTTAATGATGGTTAACGGATCTGGGTTTTGTATTACAGACATCCATTGATACAATGCCACTCATAACCCATCTGACACCAGTGTCAACAGTAAAAATACTGGTCTATTAAGTAGCATCACATGGGAAAGAAACAAAGCATTTACCAGCTCTTTGGATAAAGGCTGGTATGCCATATAATGCTTGATTGTAATGTGTTACATCAACCTTTTAAATACTAATCAGAAACTACACTGCAGACACCTGTTCTTCTTGACATAGCTGGTGTGTCCAACTCCCTCATTCTCTGGCTTCTCTCCTGGAGGAGAAAAAAACACCACCACCAAAAAATTCACATGGAGTGTTTTTCCTTCATGAATCCAAGCAGCTCTAATGTTCCTGACAATTTGGTATTACCTGCATTCAGTGGGGTTTGTCCCTGTAAAAATGGCATGGTATGAAAGACGGTATGAAAGACAGAAAAGGGTGATAAGCAAAAATAGTTCATTTTATCCCAGAGTAAGAATTATCAAATAGAAGTGTATCAACATGGTAGGATGGCAATCTTAAGAACGAGAAACATGAGTGCGCAAATGAAAGAGGCATTTGTAAAAACAGGGGCATCCCCATCATTCAGGCATGGGCTCTTTGAATTTCTATAAACATCCAATGCAATTTAAAAAAACCTTTGGAAAAAGCAAACACTGTTACTCCTTAAATAGAAAAGGAAGTGAGCCACAGATAAAGACTGGAAATAATTTCCAAGCCTTACTATAAATCCCACGAGAACAGTGGCCAAATATCAGACAAAAGTAGGCTGTTCTATATCTTAAAAAAAGTATTTTAATTTAAGATTTAATTTTAGCACGAAAATTGAGTTCAGAAACAGGGACAGGAACATAAAGTCTTTTTGAAGTCAAGGCTGAGCTGACTGTTCAGAGAAGAGACATACTTTGACCACTCAAGATCAGAAATCCTGCTGTAGTTTATAAGTGTTGTCATAACAGACTTAAGGATAGAATTTAAAAAACAGGTACTTCACCTAGTAAGTAGTACAGCAACAAAGCTAAAGACAAAAAGAAGCTGCAAAAGAAATGGGAACTACAAACTTCCCTGGTAGCAAATGGTGTGTGCAAAGACTGCGCAGCAGATAGAGGCTGGTAACAGGCGCAGTGTCACAGGGAACTTCAGCGCACCCTCACATCCACACCTCGGCAGCGGGATAGTGACGGCACCTGCGCTTCTCGTCTGTTTGAGATTAATATGGACACTGCTTGCATTTCCTAATTTGCAAGATTTAGTAGTTGCTGAGGATGCTTTGTTACAAATTCAACTGCCAGCATTCATTCACTTCCTGCACATGGTACTTCTGTTGGGGCTTCTGGCCCTGGTCCTGGCAATTTAAATGTCAAATTTCCTACATATTTGTTTGATGATGTTAAGCCCTCAAGAACAGGGCATGCACTTGTACTATCTTAGGTAGGAATTTAAATTGATTTTTTTTTTTTTCAGTAAAACAGATAAGGCACACAGTATACATTAATATTATCTAAAAAAAAAAAAAAACAAACACCAAAAAAACAAACCAAACCAACAAACAAATCACCAATATGTTTGCTCCATTATTTTATTACATAAAAAGTTGATTGTCCATTGGAAATTTTTCACAAAGTGCAACCACATCTTGTGTAGTATCACTGACAAACTCTTTCTTGCGAGACGGACAGCTGGGTTAAAAATATAAAGGTAACTTAGAAAACTGCAACAGAGAAACCACTAAGCCGAGTGGAGAAAGGCAGCAGACATTTAGCTGTCATGAAAGCAGATGATTTTCCACATACCTCTCTAGTACTGAGAAAAATAAGGAAAAAAAGTAAGAGCTATAATCACCACCCTACTTGTTGAAATTCATTTTAAAGGCAGTATCTGAATTGCCTGTATGTAGAGCCAAAAATCTGTTATTGGAAGTCTGATGAGACTCAAATGCAGAATCCAACATCTGCATGGGTACTTACAGAACATTAATATACAACTTTTTGAAGATTTTATATATATATATATATATATATGTGTATATATAAGTGATATTTTGTTTGGGCCTCTTAAATCATTACCAAATAACATCTGCTTACGTAACACTGCACTGGGACAAGTGCTAGAGTCTCAAAGACTTACTAGTTTTAAAAAGGAATACAAATGGTTTTGGAGTAGTTATGAACTGGGCTACCAGACAAAGACTGGCTGGTGAAGAAGTTCTTGCCAGAGTCCCACATTATCTTTACTAGCATATTTATTTGTTGAGTGTAAAGAATGAAAAATTGAGAAGACATATGGAAGACAAAAAAAGCTACTTGAAGGCAGTATTTAATATCAAAAAGCAACCCTCAAGTCATTACTTCTATTAAAACCCTAAAAAAACCCAAATACTTCAAATTTTAAGCAAGCTATGTGGCACAAAACATGCCTGCATTTGGCACAGGCAACTTAATGACTCAAAATAACCAAACAAAAAACCCTGTCAATTGGCTGGCTGAATTTCAACAAAGCTGCCCCCTCCTTTTACCTATGAAAAGACCCAACCTACTGTACATGGAGATTTATGACTAAGTAAAACAAGTATCTATCCTCAAAAGCTGGGCTACAGCTACAGTGTAGTAATTGTTTCTCTTCCTTGGCAAATTTGGTTTTGTATTATTTGTATACTGTTTTGCATAGCTTAATTAGTTAGCTCAGGAAGAACCCAATTTGATCAAAAAAAAAAAAATCATGTTTATGTTTCATAACATTAGGAAAACTACAGAAACTGATTTTCCATGTTTCTGATCATAATCTGAATTGTCATCTCTATACCACAGATTTAAGTTTTAAAAAGGAAAACACCTCAATATTTCATATTTATAGTTTTATCTGACCTCTCTTCATCTCTGGACATGAGAAGCAATATTCTTTAAAAAAAGGAAGGTGTAAACCCCGAACAATTGACAAAATGATAAATTTGTTATGAACAAGAAATGGACTGCACCTCTCTCCTCAATGCAATGCGATACGCAAGTATCCACAGACTCTTAACTCTGCTACACACTTGGATTAATAATAGAATATAGAAGTAATAGTTAAACCTGATGAAACACAGGATTTTCATTCTTCCACTCAAGCAGGCACAGACCTGTTTTATGAAGTGTGGCCAGAAAGGTTTCTTTAATCCTAAATTCATAGAAATAACTAAAACTAAAATAAAACTAATCACTTGGAACCTTCATCAACATCATTTAGTCCTTATGTACAGAAACCAAAAGACACGTTAGTCTGTCTCCCGAATAACTAAATGCATAATTATTCAAAAGGTTTTACTACTCAGTGAAACAATAACCTTAGTGACATGTTTTATTTCAGAACAAGCACTCAGTATGTCACAGTTTCCCGCTTTTGATACTGAAGTATTCCACAAGATCAACCATTATGGTTCAATTAGGACCTTTTATCCAAAACACTTGGATTTTAGCACCTTTAAATAAAGTGTCAAAGTAACATCTTAGTAGTATCCAATGAAGACAGTTAATACTGTGCTCATCCTCTAAAAAATGATGCAAACCATATATACTAGGTGCATTTAGTCCTTAAGAGACAGTAAGGCAGAAAGGAAACAATTCTAAACAACATTTGACTGAATACAATCTGAATAATAATAAAACCTTCCCAATTATACACAGTCATTCAAGGAGAAATCGTATTTGCTCCCATACATCAAACTTCATAGTATTTAAATCAAATAAATCAAATGTTCATTTACAATCAACCATGCCAGTCAGGAATCTATACCTGTCCCCCCCACCCCAAAAAAAAAAAAAAACACAAAACCACTGGTTATTAAATACCAGTAAGTGATATGTCTAACTCAAAGTTTAACTCTGTACTGTAACTAGGACTTTTTCAAAAATTTAAAAAACCCCAAACCCTTAAACCAGTAAAACAAATTAATTTCAGAGTTAAAGCTATTTCTTTTAGCTCACAGTCTAGATAACGGGGCATACATAACATTTGCTTCCACAGGCACAGTTCTTTGGCAGCAGTAGCAACCTGAATGGCACGAATCTGACTTTTCCTTTCACCCCCACACTGCTTATGTGGGTACTGTAATTCCACTAACATCCTGGCATCACTTCTGATGGGTGCAGCATCTCCCCTCCGCACTGATTTGGAGTACATCAGCCAAATATCTGCCTTAGCTTCTACCATGCTTCTAAGCACTTCTGGGGACATACAGGCAGCCTAACCAGACATGTCTTAAATGCCGTAATTTCAGGCATCTTTGGCCACTGTAACACTATTCTTTGCAATTTTAGGCAGTTTTGCCAACTAAGTCTAGCAAACAGGCTTCCAAGAGAATCTCTTAGCACAGATCTCTGCTATCTAAGAGCAGCCATGAATCAACAACCACCTTGCATACCCAAGATGGACACAGCTACTACAGATAAACATTGGTGTGTTCTGAGACCATATTTCTCCTTTTCCACTTAAATTAAGTTTGTGATATTAGACACGCAGATATGTATGTTAATTTTAAACAACAAAATAATCATAAAAAAATTACAAACTAAAGTAGTCAATCACTGGTATTAAACATTACCTTTCCTGTAACTAAACAAGTGGCCAATATTAATAAGTAAACTGGTCTATTTCAACATAGAAGCCTTTTAATCTCAGTAATCTCTGCTCCCTTCCTTCCCCCCCAATAAAGCCAGAAATTGGATGGAAAATTAGTTTCCCTTCAAGGAACAGCAGAGCAGTATTCAGTCTGGTTAATGCATCCATCATAGATCCTCTTTCTGTTTGGTTGCTCGGTTGTCCTCTTTGACACTATTAGATTTCTTGTCTACATCTTTTTTCTTCTTTGCTTTTTCAGGTTTTGTTTTGTTTTTTACTTTCTCACTTTCTTCCGCTCCTTTGCCAGGATAAACCTGACCTTCCAGAGTAACATCCGCACACCTTTCTTGATTTATCAGAAAGTCTTTGATCTCCCAGGCATATCCACCATCACGTAGCATAAAAATGGCACGATTTGAGCCAACAATAAACCTAGAGGAAAGATACATATTTTTTCAGTTGCATTTGTGCCTTTCAAGTGCTACAACATTTGCTTTATTCAAAGGACATCCACAACTGAGGGATACACTTAAGAGCAAGAAGTTAGTAGCGCTGTTGTTGCACACAGCTGGGGACAAGAGAACAATTTTCTAGCACACATAATAATAAAATGTATTAAGTTTGCAAGTAACAAAGGACGAGTAAGAATACAAAGAAAACTTAAGAACTAATTCAGCACTATGTAAAATCCACTAATGGCCATTAAATTTGCTTTATACACTTGGTGCACCCCTTCTCAGCCTCAATTCAAGAGCACAACATTTCTCTGTTTCAAAATGACCCTCTCTCTCAGAGAGAAAAAGCCACATTTTTTAGCCAGGGAAACAAAAAGCCTTTTGTGGTGAGAAGTCTTCCAAGTGTGATGTTTTCCGTCAAGCACATAAAGGCAAACTACTGCAGCTAAAACTGATAAATAGATGAAATGTAATGAGATAAAAAGAAATTAGACCATACATACATCATGCATAATTTTTAAAAAGATTTCTGCACCACATCAGAATTTTTGTAGCTTGACTTAAAGCAAATCGGCCTATAAACTGGTACAGAAACAAAGGAATAATGACAGACAGTGGAGTTGGGGAAGGGCATGGAATGAACAGCTGAAAGGATTTCCAGGATGAAAGAAACAAGTGTTCTGTAAAAGCAAGAACTTTATTCTTGCACACAACAGCTTACCTTTGCACATCATAGTTTGCATTGAAGAGACTGCCCTGCCACAAGCTAGTAATTTCTTCTGTTTCCTTTTCTGTAGGATTTCCCGACACCGTGACAAACATCATCAAAGTCTTCCCCTTTTTTGTCAGCTTCAGGATACTTTCAGGCTTGCCTGGATCAATTTTTGAGAAATCTATTGGTGCTGGAGGCCTCTTGTGTTCGGGAAGATCTCCCTCTTCAATGTCATCATCTTTCTGTTTTGAAAAAGTAAAGGAGGCTTTAAATGCGACTGATCCATACAGCTGTTCTTTTTTGAAACCTCCCATTGTTTAGAGAATAACTTTGCTTTGATAAAGCAAAAGCATTGTGTAGTTTAATGACAGAGATTCTCAAATCAAAAGAAATGATGAAGTATCTTGAGCCAAAACTCACTAAGAGTGCTCTTCCCACTTACAACTCTCCCCTCAAAAATGATGCACTTGTCGATACTGACGGGTAGAATCTCATTTCACCACATACTGAGAAATATTTCAGCCACAAAGCTAATCCAATACAACTCCACCTAGGTACTACATAATACTTTTTTTCCTTCACAGTTTCACAGAGATTTATTAAGCATACAATATGGACTGAGAAAGTTGCACTAAAAAGCCTCATACACACACAAATAAAAAAGTCAACCATCCGAATATTGCTTTCAGAGGTCAAAACCCACTTCTAAGAATCATGGGATCACTTGAGAATTTAATTTTCCTTACTTTGTGTCTTTAAATAAATAAAAAGGCAAGAATTCAGAACTTCAATGTTAATGCCATAGGAAAACTTTTATTAAGGGTTTCATGACTTTTCAAATGCACAAATGAAAAACAGCTTATATTCTGGCAACATAATCACCAAGAGCAAATCACTGTTAGAAGAAAACCTCAGCAGAGGCATCAAGGTTGACAAGCATTTAAATATTTGGAAAGGCAGAATTCAAACTGCTGTCCCTTACAACAGCTCCTGACAGAGAGGAGTGAATATAGTGACAACTTACACAGAGCTACAACTTGATTTCTTAAACAGTATTTGTATCATCATATTAAAAAGAAAAAAAAAAAAAAAAAGAACAAAACCCCACAGAAGTCTTATACTGACGTCCACCCAAGCACTAGTAAATCAGCAGGAATTAAGGCAGGTATTTTAGGTGTTGTTTTGACTTAAAACATTTAGTGAAAATATGCATCGATCCATTAAGAACATGAGCTGTAGCAATATCTAACAATATTTCCTTCAGAAGCCTCAAAGGTCAGGAGCCGAGCTTGATTTTTAGATCTAAGTATGCATTACCTTCTCATCTCTGCACACACTTATATACAAACAACATCATTCTCTTACAACATCCCAATACAGGGAGTATCCCATACCCTTTAAAGGTTAAGGTTTCATACAAGTGACCTTCTTTTCCCATCTCCTTAATGTAGAGTTTGCCATCTGACAGGGGAGTTTAAAATTGAGTTACTGCAGAATAAAAGTTGTAGAAGCCTGAGATTTTATCCTTTCTTTCTTTACTAACTATGTATCTTTTTCAGTTTTGCAAGTCTGAAGTATGCTTTCAAGTAGTTCACATGCCTTTGAAAATTCCACATTAAGTGAACTGGGAGCAAAGGAGAACCCCAGGAAAGCCCCGCTGCCCTCACTAAGTGGGAACAATACTTACTTTAGAGGAAGTTGGAAAATGGTCTATTGGTAAAGTACTGTGAAAATACAAAATCTTATGTAATTAAATGAAAAATGTTCTTCAGAAGCAAAAGCAAACCAGTTCTAATTTTAGACCAGTTTAGCTACTGCAAAATCAACTTGTTCATAGTTTTGAAAGAGAAAGGTAGAAACAAATGTTTCCAAATATGCCTTGCACAATGCAGAAATTGATTTTGCGTTTAGTGACAGCACAATCTAATAACAAATATTACCTATTTTCCCCTCAACTATTCCACTAAATGTTCATAAACCTGTATTGTTACAATCTAAACGGAAATATTATAAGTGGTCAAAAGCTCCCCTACACAACACTTCTTTTCTTGATCCTGTACAAACTATCATGCAGTCCTGTATTTATAAAGCTAGCTACAAAGAAGAAAAGTGTAAGCTTTTGCCTTGAAACATCTAGCAGATTAACTGATTTAAACAGTAACATGAAGCTTCAGAGGGAAAGCATTACATAGATACATTAATAACTACATAGTCTTTCTCCTCCCTTCAGCTCCCATGCTCATACATTTCTCATCAATGCCCAGCATTTCTATTTTAAAAAATATTAGCAACATATGTCACCTAATTCCTTAGCCTATTAAATAATCTTAGCTCAGAGTCAAGCCGGAGAAACCCTGAGCCAAAACCAGTAATGAACTGTTTTAAAGAATATGACATTTTGGTAACTGAAAGAACTCTGGACCAGGTTCTCCATTCTGTTTCCATCTCTTCTGGGCTCAAGGCTGCTGGAGAATCCATTTCCACGAGGGAAATCCCTAGGTGCCTTCCTTCAAGCTCTAGTGCAACTGAGCTGCTGAAGCAACCTATCTTTCCCTGCTCCCCGTGCTCATTTCCACTAGACCACTCTCCCGTTCACTGGGCAGTCATGCACAACGTTGCACCAGCACAGTGCAAGGAGCACCACAAGAGCCTCCACAGAGCAGCAGCTGCTCATTCTGGAAAGGCTGCTGGAGCCACCACCTCAGCCTCGCCAGGCTTGCAGCCGAACCCAAAGATGTTATAACCGCCATCCTAAACTAACTGCCAGGGAAATAAAAAAAGTACTAGGAGTCATCTCACTCAGCTGAAAGTAATGACACTTGATTCTGTACAGATCTGTGCCCTGTGCCCCTCACTCACAAGCATAATTCCTGCTCTTATCCAAATTCATAATGGCCCCTTTGTTTCTCATCCCACTCCACCAAGTCCACTCATGCCCTTTCTTCTCCTCTATCCCCCAGCCACCACCCCCTCAAGTCTTTCATGTTCCTTATATGTGTCCTGACTACCATCGGGCAAAATGCCATAGAGCTGACCATACCAAACAACCATCAGTTGTTGAGCCCCTGCTTCAGTAACTTTTTTATTCTAGGGCTCTGGCCATATGTGCATCTCCTCAGTGGCAATGCCAATCCGAGCAGCCAACTCCCCAGCTGCTCAGCCACACCCACACGCAACATGGCTACAAGTATTTGTGTAGCACATGGTGAACTCGATCAGAGACCTGCTCCAGCTAAAAAGGAAAAACCCCAGTCTCCTGATCCTGCCTGCCACCCTGGCTGGAACAGAACATACAGCCACAGAGTCATCACAGCATTAACTTGAGTCTCCTTGCCCACCAGGTCCAAGGCTGACATCCTTACTTCTCACAGAAGTTATTTTATCTATATGACATGTACAAAACCTACTGCTCGACCTGGACTTACAGCTGCAACTGGTGTTACAGGGACAGAAGTTTTTCACTCTATTATAGCCTTCAGTTTTTGTACAACACATTCTGGGGAACTGTCTTGGGGGAAAGAATAAAATACACTGATGAGTGCTCTGACATTTATCAGCAGATGATGGAAGGCAAAAATAGTGAAAAGAACTGAAGAGTGACATGACAACCACATGGAGAAGAGAGTGATGGGGAACTGTCAAAGAAAGTTAAAGCAAGGCAGCAGCCTGATGGGGATGATTAGGGACAAGAGAGCAGTAATTAGAAGTCATTATCATGAGGAAGGGCAATGAAGGAAACATCAAACAAAAAAACCCAACTACATATGTACTCTGTAAACATGAAATAGGTATTTCTCCTGCTGTCCACCCTTCACTGACAAAACCAGTACCCCTTATTACCCCAAAAGAGCAGACATTTAAGTCACACCAGGCTGTTGGCATGAATCGACAGCGTGAGATGGGGTTGGGGCGCTGCGAATAGGGAAGGGGGCAGCGGGCAGTGCCCCCAGGAGCCCTCCCCGCGCCTCTATTTTTTAACTTCCCGCCCGCGAACCCGGAGCCTCAGAGGAAGGAAACCGGCTCCTGCCCGCAACGCCAGCGGGCCTCGGGGACCGCTCCCGCCCGCTCGGCCCGGGGGAAGGACGCCGACCCTCCCGCCTTCCCCGCTCTGCGAGCTCCCCGGCGCCTCCCCGCACCTCCCACTGCTCCAGCAGCCGAGCCATGTCCGCGTCGTTGTAGTCCCGAATGTCCTTCTTCTTGGCCGGCCCCGCTCGCCGCTTCCCCTCCGTCTCGCCGGCCCCGGCTGCCGCGCACAGCCAGAGCGCCAGGCCCAGCAGGGCCCAGCCAGCGGCCGCCGCCATCTTCTCCCTCCCCTCGCCGCCGCGGGAAGGCGGCCCCGGCTGGCCCCGGGGCGGGGGGGAAGGAGGAGCCGGGAAGAGGCGGGCGGGCAGCGGCCGCTGCCGGGGTTGTGCGCGGCGGCTCGGAAGGGAGGGAGCACCGGGAGCGAGCCGGGGCCGGGGGTAGGACGGCGAGCACCCTCCTCCTCCTCCCCCTTCTCCTCCTCCTCCCCCTTCTCCTCCTCACTGCGATGTCGCGACACAAAGAGCCGTTTGAGGCGCTGTCCGGCCCGCTGCGGGCGGGGCCGCTCAGGGCGCGGTCCGTGGCAGGTCTCGGCCCAGGAGAGTGAATGAAAGGTGCACATTGTCGGGTTGTTTTTTTTTTTTTTTTTGTTTTTTTTTTTTTTTTGTTTTTGTTTTTGTTTTTTTTTTTTTGTTTGTTTGTTTTTTTTTTTTTTGGTTGTTGTTTTTTTCTTCTTTTTTTTTTTTTTTTTTAATTAGGATGACAAGTAGCTGTGTTCACTAATTACATGATACGAACTGGGCCCACTGCACTGTCTTCTAACCAATATCTTGGCAATATTAGGTTTTTAGAAGAAGGCTTTCAAAGTTAAAGCTGTTCCTGAAATATGACTCCAGAACGTCAGACTACCACAAAAAAAAAATTACAAGATATGGCTCTTTCTTTGTACAGAGTACATTTCCATTATCCAAACCAAATCATACAGATCAATGTCTGCATAGCCTATTTCATTCTTCAGTCTTCATTTTTTTCCTCATGAAAGCTGTCTTAGATATAATTAGCACCATCTTTGCCTTTTAGATTTGGACTTCAGGAAGTTTAAACTTGGAAATTCAAGGAAGCAGTGCAGTAACTGCTACTGGTAGTAATTGTGGTCAGGCTGATGAGCGAGCAGGGTGTTTCTCCGTTCAAGTGGAAGCATTGAAGGCAGAGCAGGTTTAGAACAGAGGAACCAATTCTATAGAGTGAACACTCCAACCCCAATTCTGTTATTGTATATAGCCCTATAATGAACCAGGAGCCCAATGCCTTTATGGGCAAGGCGTGCAAATACAAAACAAAAGCATTCAGTAGGCAGGGGCGTGGGCTTGGGAAGCTTCCCGAAGCCTGGACTAATTCTTGAAATGATAAGACACTGAAGGGCTATGTAGCATGTGAACACCAGGGAGATGTGCCCCATGAGGCACCAGCTTGCCAAGTGCATGCACAGCATGAGAAACAGCAGAGGAGGATGTGGGATCCAAGATTTCAGCACCATGATAAACAACCAGCTGGGTCTGCAACCTCCATACTGAGGGTTATCGGTTTAGAACATTTCAGACGTATTGCCAGGGCGCCTGAGAAACAGGAAGCAGTTAGACCATAGCTATTCATGGAGCTTGTTAAATGTACAGTAACTGAAACTGGGTTTTAGTCAAGTACCTCTCACAAAGCTGTCCAGTAAGTCACTAATGAGCACATTTGCTCAGTGATTTCTCATTAAATATAATGAACATCAGGTATACTATATCAGATTGCCCTGATTAATGAGGTTTTACTAAAATATGTTTCTGGTAACTTTTGTTATTACTGGATCATGCGTACATTCACTGGAAAAAAAATAAAGACTAAAGATTCAATTTTGGAATGCTGTACTTACAGCATAAAATATTTTCACTGAATTTCTACTGGGAAATATTTTCTTCAATTCTGTTTTCTCTTATTAAAACAAACTACACCGACTTTGACTTTCTTTAATATCTGCTGCTACATTCAGATGTGGATCTCAAAAGTAATCCAATTCCCTTTGGTAAGTGAACAAGTTGTTCAGTATATCCAGCACTGCACCAAACACTTCCTTGACATGCATATAAAAGGTTTAATTTGAAAGGGAGATATTTTTCATGCTTGGATCCAACCTTGCAACTTTCTATGTTCAGGCAGAATTCTGTGTCCAGGAAGAACTTGTTCAAAGTATGGTCTCTGTGAGGGTCAGCTGCAGGACAAACACCTATTCAGCCTCTGTACTCTACTGCTCTTCTTTCCCATGCAAGAAACAAAAGCAACGCAGCTAGAAATACATACCATTGACAGGGGCAAATTAAATTGCATTTTCTTTTTATTGAAGCACACTGTGTTTTGTTCGGAATAGCTATAGAATCACACAAATATGCTTTTTATGGCTTAACCATTTTCATATTCCTAACAGTTTTTATAGTCCTAACAGCTAACACTATTATGATTACAATACAAAACATACCCGATAATAAAGGGCTACTTTCATTGTAGATTGCAAAAGCAAGGTGTTTAAGGCTTTATCTTGCAGCTTCAAGTCCCATCTAGCGATGTCAGGGAATGTCTCAAGCTGTGGCTGACATTTTTACTTCTGCAACATGCAAATTTTATTAGTAGTGCTTTCAATTATAAAGTTACACCTTATCAGAAAGGCAAATCTACCTCCCCCCGGTTGATGTTAACTGTTTTCATTATTGAGTAGGGTTGGGTCAAGCTGCAATATGAGAGGATTCAGGATGTTCTAAATTTCTGTTAATGAAGTTTGGGATTCTATTTTTTTTTTAATATATATATATATAACCTGCATTTTATGAAGTATATTTGTGCAAAATGTATTTCCCATACCATCATTTCTTAGGAGACGATTATGTATATGTTTTTAGCTGCCAAAAGTTCTCTCAAGTCTTCGCTGGTGATGGGGTTTTGTGTGCAGTTTTGTATTTTAGAGTGGATTTTCATTCATCACATTTTACTTTTCTTTGCAAATACAGTACAGTAGGGTCTTAAAGCTTGTATCTTCACATTCCTTGGAATGAAGCCTCAGAGAGAACAAAGAACTTGACTTCATCAAGGAAAGGGCAGCACCCTCTTGGAAGGACATACAGACAATTAAGAAATTAAACTAACAGGATCAGAAGATCAGCCCTAAGCATGCATAAGGGGAAAAGAACATGCAAGGGCTACCTGCTATCAACACATGCTCTATCTGGAAGAATTAATTCATTTTAAGAACTCTACTAATACCAGAGGATGTTTAATAGTGACTCAGATGAATGAGGTGTTGCGAAAGGCTGCTTTTTAGTGATTACTTTGAATATCTAAAATGATGGAGGTCTGGTGTACAGCTATGCTCTTCATACAGCCTGATAGGCATTAGAACTGCTTTTGCACTTACCAGCTTAGTAAAGGACCAGGACAATATTATGTTAAACCATACAGAATACTTGCTGAGTAACGGATCCCAGAAAAATTGAAGCAAGTTTTCAGACAACCCAGCATTCAAAGTATTCTTACCCTGTTCAGAATCATTGTCATACATTTTACAGAATGTCAGGGTATTCTGAGTTACTTTCAGTAAAACATTAAAAATTAATGTTTTCATAGGTCAGATTATCTTAAGTACCCTAAATGTTCCCCTGCAGAGACAATCTAATGCATGAGCTCTCATGCAAAAACAGTGAATGTGTTAATTCAGACCTCTGAGTGCCATCACATTCAGAGAAAAACTTGAAGAAACGGACCTGAACATGTTATCTTTAAAAACAGTAATATTTCTAAATCTCAAGAAATAAAATATGTTTAATACTGTTACTAGCAGCATAGCAAGAAAAATATGTTGTCATGTAGAGCGTAAGTATTTGAATGGTTCATAATAATTTCAGTCCTTGGATTAATTTCATGAATAAAACAAGCACGCTCACTTGCCATCTATCAAGAGAATGCAGATTTTTGTTCCAGAGCTACTCAGACATTGAATTCCTGGGACCAATTTTAAAAATTAAGTCTTTAATTCAAAATTCTCCCAAATTAGGGGTTAACTATTGTGATTTGGACATGAAATTCTGATTCAGGTACTATATCCTTGAAATTCACATTCTGAATTTAGTTTTGACCACAAAATAAATCTTTACCCTAACTTTATGTTATCCTGTGCATGTACATTTTATAAATTAAAACTCAATGACTGAATGGAGATGTTTGACACAGATGACATGTTAGCTCTGTATCACTACCTATTTGATCAGGTTTCAGGAGCGGGTATGACGCCTGACTGTCTAGTCAGCTGCAATAAAGCTATATACTGTAATCCTCAAATTCAGAAACACCACAGAATGTTTGTGTTAAGCAAATCTTACTGCAAGATTTGCTACAAATCTGTGCTGGTTAAAACTATGTACTGGTTACACAATTTAAAGTTACCCTATTAAGAAAAGAATTACATTAAATCAATGTCAAAGAAGGTTTACTTGGTTCCCACAGGAATTCCCTTTATAGTCTAATTTCCACAATCTAAGTGAAATTAATTTTGTAGTCCCAATTTAATTTTTAGGTTTACAGGTCAGTTTTGGCACCTACATCTAATGTAAGTAATACATTACATGAACTTCTGATGAATTAAAGGTGCTAGACTTAAACCGGTAATGATCAACAGCTCTCCTCATAGAACACACATGCACAATGAGAAAAGTATAGGTTCAGAGACTCCTATGAAAACAGCTATTAAATTTCTCTCATTATATATATTAAAAAAAGGAGAGGCAGGGGAACAGGACCCAAACCCTTCTGTAGAGTATTACAGCTGCAGGACAGAAAACATACTACCAAAAGTACAATTCAGGAAGGGTGGGCCCTTGCATGTTTTGTTCAAAATACTGCGTTCTCCTTTGATCTCAGAAAAAAAACCCAGACCCAAGAGTCTGAAGGGAGGGTCTTGGATTCCTGTTTCTGCTGGACCATTCTAATGAGCAGCATTTACCACTCTTCCATTAAGTGCTTCTGAGTTTCAAGCCAACTGACCTACAAACCTGGCCCTTCTTGCCTGCTCCAGGGAGGGAGAATGGACACGAGGAGCTATGTCACACCTAACGCTCTCCTAGGCACCAGCCTTGTAAAACACAAGGTGTGGGATGCATATCCACATGTGTGAATGGTAGAAAAGAACACGAAGCAGAAAGCCATTATTGGCTGTGTCAACATAAAATGTGACACAGCCATCCATTCCGTGCAAAAGGAGTTCTGTAGGTGCATTTTCCTTTTCATAGAAATGTGTCTCTTTTCCATGTCAAGGTATGAAATATCCACGGTAAAAGCAGGGGAAAAGGAATTGATTATATATGTTAACTGATGAAAACAACAGTACAATAAATGGTGAATAAAAGGACAACAAAACAAAAAACACTTTTGCTGTATTATCTGTCAGTTGAGCAACAGAAGCTGACCAGTATTTTAGACATAACCGAGATATTTACTGGTATCTATGTAATACATTTCTTCTTACCTTTGATACTGTGTTTTTGTCTATGCCATATTAAAAAAAAATGTCAAAACACCAAGGGTAAGCCTGTCTGCGAAAGCCCACCTTTTATTCTAAGTGCTACTTATTAATACACAAAATCATTTTCAAAGAAGAAACAAAACTTGTGCCTGTGTTTGCATTTTGCTGTTACAAGTGACCAGTCAACAGTTCCTCCACATCTCTAGCTGTCTTTTTTTGCTACACACAGACCAGTTCTCAGGTTGCATCCCTAGTGTATCAACCATGATTACCTCTGCAGACCTGAGACAGACCCAGACCTCGCAGTTTTAGTCTCTTGTGAAGTAATGACTGTAAGTACTGACCACAAAACACTTACTTAGCACCAGACCATTTAAGACAACATAGATCTGAAAGCCAATAAACCAGTCAACACACTTGCCTTTCCTTCTGTATGACTTACCATTCCATTGCTGCAGAGGAAGGCCCAGCTTCTTCCAGCCTCTTCCGCAAAGTCTGCCTCTGTGTTAAATTATTTCTTCCATCCGTCTCTACCAACTTCATCCTCCTCTCATTTTTAGTTCTCAGCCTGACAAACCAGCGGCATCCCTTGGAATTGGAGCTATCATTCTTGTAATTACCACCTCATGGGTTTAGTCACATATAGCTGACACAGGGGAACCACTGAATTGCCTTTTATTCCTTCATCAGCTAGCTCCCTATTAAGCTAGATCGATACATCTATACAGGAAAGTAATATAAAGTAGTATAACCCATTGTATAGTAACTTCCTCTCACCAACCTGGCCACATACAGTGTTCACAAAATTATTACAACTTGGTATTCTTCAGCTATTACTCAACACTGGCAAAAATCAATTCCTCCTTCACAAAAAAAAAAAGATTTCACTAAGCAATAAAAGGGCCAAGTCCTGTCAGATGATTCAGGAGAGAAGACTTCAGCCTCCAGTTTCTGTTGTACTAAGCACAATGCAAATTAAAGATCAATGTGACGAAAGAAGAGCTCATACAAGTAAGCCAATCTTCTGTACACTACTAAGCCACATTAAAAAGCCTTTTAATCCCTTGTATCTGTCAATGCCTGCTGTTTTGAACCCCAGAGAGTTATTTCATTCAGACTGTGTCAGTGAAATATTTTTAAAGCCAAGCATGGCCACCTGATTTTCAAGTCTTCTAAGTCTTTACATCAATTCACAATGCTGCCCAAGTCTTGTGGGTCACCTTTGGACTCAGCAGACGTGAAATAAATGGGTATGAACACATTTTCCCTGAAAGAGATGTGCAAAAGATTTATGAAGAAAATACCCACCCCAAACATCACTGAGTAAAAGTTTCCTCCTAAACCACAGCGATACATCTACTGGACCTTTAAAGCATGTAACTAGCTGATCTCAGTTCTACTCAAATTACTGGACTCAAGAGAATTTGCCTTCAAGGCTGCTTTTTAGAATAAAACTATCTGCTTATGGTCAAATAATAAGCATGGTAGACACAGACTACGAGTGATCCTAAACCCAGCCAGGCCAGGTGTACTTATGAAGCAACATCGCAGTCTGTAGGAAGGCTCTAACAGGCAGTTGTTCCAAAAAATGCCTCTTCCATGATGAAAATGACCAATTAAGGTGGTATTTTCTACATTATTTTTTCAAACAGTAGAAGTCAGGTCACTCTTTATCATACGTTTCATACGCAGAAAAGCTGAACACCCAGGGCTACTACTGGAGGAGAATAACATTTGACGAGACTGCCTTGGAGACTGGCCACAAGCAACACCTTCTACACGACAATAGTTACCGGTTTTGCCCCTTGCTAATACTGAGGCCGATCGGCACTGGATCGGTCTTGTGGATGGATTAAAGGAGCTCAAAGAATATTTGCTTTATGTTACAGCAGTTACTAAGAGCTTTGGTGGCCCTGTTAGCTGCTAGGAACTGCCGTGGGTTACGGCCTGGCTGTGTTTCTGGTGTGGGCAGCTGGGGGAAAGGCTGGTGGAGGAGCCACAGCAGGAACTGTCCAAACCAAGGAGCTCTCGCTTTGTCCCCGCAGAATGGCTCAAATCACGCGGAGCATCATGGCGGGCGGCAGCATCTAAAAATGGAAAATATTATTAGGTCACTTAACACCTCTTCTAGCCAGGGGTGAGACCTATGTTTTCTAAAATTAAATTTTTCAAACCCTAATTAAATGTAGTCAATCCTCATTAAAAATAAAGTAGGTTAATATTTATGAGAAGCATTTTTTGTGCTACAGAATACCTCACTGCCTCATTTAAGGACGTATCTGGAAATATTTTAAAATACAATTCAGTTGGCTTCTTCTGCCCATTGATTTTTATTTTTCAGAGTACTCTGAAATCATTCCTATTTATAGTTTTGAAAATGAGTTTCTGGCAGTAAGCCAGAACTGTTTAGGCCCAAATCATGACCTTCCTTTAAACTGCTATAATGTGACTCAAGTAAACAGAATTTCTCTCACACTGCTTCTGTGAGGAGGGATGGGTGGAGAACTGCCATATTTTCGACACACCCAAAGAGAAGTATTTGTCCCTTTCCTCAAGCCTGGCTCTATAGCAAGGGTTTCCCCCCACCCCCCAGAAGCGTGCATCCTGTTAACCCTTCACATTCACATCTGTATTCATCCTGCTCACGTCCCAGTCTAGAAGTCCATACAGAAGGCCAAGGTTTCCTCCACCTAATGGGCGAGAATATGTACAAATAAACTTGTCTGAAGCTCTTTAAATGTATGCAATCCATTAGATGGACTCTGTTTGTGCCAGGACATTGTTGGATCTGGCCTGCAAGTGAGCACTCTGGTCCAATTTTCATTTATTTTAAGCTCACTTATACCCGTAAAGCAGTATGAACGTAGCAGGACGTTAACGTAACTGTGAATTGGGACAATTGTATTTCTGGATTTCTGTAGCCTGCTAAATGCATTGCAAATGCCTAGAATTAAGAGGCTATCTTAAAAAGTAAAGTCTGATTGAAAGGAGCAAAAGAATGTTATTATTTAGCTGCAGCAAAATATGTAACAATTGTAAGATATGGTTTCAAAATAGACTCATCACCATTATTTACCGAACTGTATATTCCCTTTGGAAGCATCCCAGGCAGCATTAAACCCATCTTCTTATAACTTGTTCTAGCCCAGTCAGTAATTTTATTATTGTTTAATGGCATTTACTTGAATGCCTCAGATTTACTGAGCATGATGTCTTGCTTTTGACAACTGTCAAAGTTCTTGGTGTGCTGCAGGATGGAGACAGGCCTGAGGAGAAAGTCTTCCATACAGTTAGCGTCAGTAGGTTTACATTTTCCCTGCTAAATTCTAACAAATGGTAGCCAGTCTCCAAAACCAATGACGGAACCATGAGGGAAACATAGCAAATTCGTTTTCATTGGCTTAAAAAATGGGTCAAGACCAGCGCTGAGGGGAATGTTTCTATGTAAATAAAGCTGTAGTAAGACTCCATGCCGTATTTCCAGCGCCCATTACGGCTGCAAGAGGTTGGGCTTTTTGACTGGATCGGAGCAAAGCCAGCCGAAGCCCCGCGGGTGAGGGGAGCCCCGCTCTCTTTAGCGCTGCCAAGCTGCCGCTGCTCCGCGGCCGTCCCGCCCGGAGCGGGGATGCTGCTGCGCGAAGCGCGACAGCCGCAACGGGCTCCCGGTGCCGCGGCCCCGGCGCTTCCCACCCCCGCGACGGTCCAACTTACCTGGCGGGACGCCCGCGGGCCGGCGGGCGGGCGGCTACTCTGTGGCCCCCCCTCCGCCTCTCCTCCTCCTCCGCCGCCGGTGTCCGACTGCACGCCGCGCCCCCCGAGCGGCGCTCAGCCGGCGGCCCCTCTCCGGCTCCCTCTCGCTTTCCTCCCGCCGGCCTCTCCCTCTCCGCGCCGTCATTTATTTATTCATCCGGCGGGGCCGGGGCAGCGCGGCCGTGAGGGGGGCCGGCGGCCGTGAGGGGGGCCGGCGGCCGTGAGGGGGGCCGGCGGCCGTGAGGGGGGCCGGCGGCCGTGAGGGGGGCCGGCGGCCGTGAAGGGGGCCGGCGGCCCGCGGTGCCGGCCGCGGCACGGCGCTGCTGCCCCCTCCGCCCGGGAGGAGCGGGAGGCGGCGGGCGTGGAGCGGGGCGGCGGGGGGGGAGGGCAGGATTTAAACGAAGGGCGGTGACACCGCACAAAAGATTTCGATAGGCTTAAGTGAGGTTACAGCAAAGGCAACGGGGAGGGGGGAGCCTCCCTCAGAGCCATGCAGCGTCTGGCTGGCAGATCCGCCGCAGCCGCCTCTTCCCAATAGTTTGTCTGAAAGCCTGAGAAAGGCAATTTAAAAGAAGATTTCCTCTCCACCCCCTCACGCCCCCCCGTTCTTTTTTATTTTTTCCCCTTTTTTTTTTTTTCTTTTTTTTTTTTTTTTTTTTCCTGGGAGTTGGCGACTCAGCCAGAAAACATGGCAGGAGGAGCGCAAGGCCGGGCGGGTCGCAGCATCCGCGGCTGTAGCCCGGAGCCACCACCCTTGTTCGCGGGAAGAGCCTAAGTTGGTGCGGCGGCGGCGGCGGCGGCCACAGCGGGAGCCGGGCGAGGAGGGGCCGGCGGCGCCGAGTCTGCGGGGCCCTGGGCGGCGGGGCATGGACCGCGGCGGCGGGGAGCCAGCTCGCAGCGGCCGCGTGAATGACCGAGGCAGGAAGGAGTGAAGCAGCGGCAGAAGGAAGGGGAACGGATCGCGCCCGCCCGCCCACAGCACCCGGATCCGGTGGATCTCTTTTCTTTTTTTTTTTTTTTTCCCCTCATTATTTTTTATCTTCCCCCCCCCCGCCCCCCCTTTTTTCTCTTTTTTCCTTCTCTTTTTGGTTTTCCTCCCCCCTCCCGCGGTGCCCCCGCTCCGCTCCGCTCCCCGGCCCGGCGGCGGGGCTGTGGCGGCGGGCGGGCCACACCCTCCGCGGCGCTTCCTGCGGGCCGGCGGCGCGGGGCCGCGGCGGGCGCGCCGGGGGCGGCACATGGTGCGCAGCCGCCGCCCCTCCGGCCCTGCCGAGCTACGCCCGGCTGCCGCTCGCCGACCGGAGGAGCCGGGGGCACGGTAGCAACTTGGAGGGCTGCGCCCCTGCCCCGACTCCGCGCGACTGCTGGGCGTCTCTGAGGTATTCCGTCTCGTAAAAGGGAACTTCGCGCAGGATCCCGAAGCCGGGAAAGCCGGAGGAGGTGGTGGACGGGAGGGGAGGCAACGTGCGAAAAGGAAAGAAAAAAAAGAAAAAAAAAAAAAAAAAGGAAAAAAAAAAAGAAAAAAAAAAATATCGTTTTTGCTAAACGATGCCGGGACGGGGCCCGGAGGCTCCCGGCGAGCGCCGGCCCGCCGCCGGAGCGCCGTAGGGGCGCAGGCTGGCGCCGGAGCGGGGCGGGCGCCCCGGCCGAGCTCGCTCCCCGCAGCAGCGGCAGCCCCGGCGCCCAGAGCCTTTTCTTGCCTCCCGGCGATTAATGGAATGATGTTGCGGAAAAGGCAGAGCGATCCTGCCGGGCTCAGTCGGGACTGCTCGGGCGGCGGTGGCAGAGGCGGTGGCAGTGGGGTAGCGAGCGGCATGCGAGTGCCCCCCCGGCGCTATGGCTAGCGGTGGCTCTGGCAAGTCCAGCAGCGAGGTGTCTGGCGGCGGCATCCCCAGCAGCAGTTCCCTGCAGAGGAAGAAGCTCATCTCTATCTGCGACCACTGCAAGATCAAGATGCAACTGGTGGCTGATCTGCTGCTGCTGTCGAGCGAGACCAGGCCGGTGAACACCGAGAGCCTGTCTGTCTTCGGTGAGTCCTTTGAGAAGTGCAGGGACACGATCATTGCCAGGACCAAAGGACTCTCCATCTTGACCCATGATGTCCAGAGCCAGCTCAATATGGGACGCTTCGGGGAGGTGGGGGAAAGCCTGATGGAGATGGGGGAGCTGGTGGTCTCCCTGACCGAGTGCTCTGCCCACGCTGCCTACCTGGCCGCAGTGGAGACTCCAGGGGCCCAGCCTGCTATGCCTGGCTTGGTGGATCGCTACAAGGTGACCCGATGTAGGCATGAGGTGGAGCACGGCTGCGGGGTCTTGAAGACCACCCCTTTGGCAGATATGAGCCCTCAGCTCCTGCTGGAGGTTTCTCAGAACATGTCCAAGAACTTGAAATTCCTGACAGACGCCTGTGTGCTGGCCAGTGAGAAATCCAAGGATAAATTTGCTAAGGAGCAGTTCAAACTCAGTGTCAAATGTATGAGCACCAGCGCCTCTGCCCTCTTGGCATGCGTCAAGGAGGTCAAGACTTCACCCAGCGAGCTGACCAGGAACCGATGCGTCTTGTTCAGTGGACCTTTGGTGCAGTCTGTCTATGCTCTGGTGGGCTTTGCCACTGAGCCCCAGTTTTTGGGTAAAGCTGCCACCATTAATCCAGAGGGCAAAGCTGTGCAAACTGCCATCCTAGGAGGAGCCATGAGCGTGGTATCTGCTTGTGTGCTCCTGACCCAATGCCTCAGGGATATAGCCCAACACCCCGAAAGTAGCACCAAAATGAGCGATTACAGGGAAAGGTTGAGGAACTCAGCTTGCGCCGTCTCGGATGGTTGCAACCTGTTATCTCAGGCACTAAGAGAAAGATCTTCACCCAGGACTTTACCGCCAGTGAACTCCAATTCTGTGAATTAACCCCCGCATCTTCTGTTTAGATCCCAGTTATTGCTAAAGGAAAATAATATCCCACCTCCTCACCCCCTTTTTTGTATACCAAAGAATTTGCTTGGATGAGCCCAATCCTTTGATTTCACGTGGTGAAGAAGCAGAACATATTCAAACTATACGTACTAATAAAGGTAGCCAGTTTTGGCTTCTTTTTATTTTACTTACAAGTCAAGCAAGTATCTGCAGATAAATTTTCCTTTATTCAACAAGTTCTTCACACAAATGGTAATAGCAACTGTTTAAAAGTTTTTTATATTTGGGGAGGTGGGGGTATCTTAAAAAAAAAAAAAAAGAGAAAAAAAAAAAGCTTTAATCGCGCTGGGTGCGGTTTTAAAAGTTTGTCTTGTCTTGTCTTCCGAAATTTCCCTTCTAAATTTTACTGTTCGGTTGTGCAGGAAAAGGTTACCTCAGTTCTCACTCATTTAAAAAAATGAAAAAACCCAACACCACATAGATGATGGATGTAGCTACTATTTTGTTTGTTTTTGTTTTGTATGACTTTTTTTTTTTTTTTTTATTTTGCATCAAGTGTTAGGTTAGAAGTGCATTTGGTGTGTAGGAGTGGAAGGACTGGAGGTTGTGATTATGTTTTCCATGTGTTGATTTCCAAACTGGGGGAAAAGCTACTGTGAGTGTTTAAACAAACAAACAAAAAATTACACTATAACAAAAGTGATTTTTAATTTTTTTCCAATGTCAGTTTTTATCTTGCATGTACTGGAGTATTTATTTCATCTATTAAAATGTTATGTTTCTCAGATGTCTTTCTGTGAATCTCTTAATACTTGAATAATTGAACGACTAGGCCTGTTTGCATTGTATGTCATTTCCCCCAGGGAATGGGTGGTACAAATGTAACTGTAGTTCTAGACAGCAGCATACAGGCTTCAATTGAGTTCTTTTATTTTCATAAATGCTGTCCCTCCCCCAGTACTACCCCTCCTCCTCTGGACGCCTCTGACAGAGATACTCTGTAGTTGTATTTATGGCAAGCTGGACAGTGCTGGATGCACGGGGATTGCTCTGTCTGCAGAGAGCTGGCGGTTGCTGCAGCAGGGCATAGGCTGGCTTTGTTTGTCTTTATCAGCGTTCTGTGTTATCTTTTGAGAAGTCTTTATGTTAACTCTTGCAGATGTTGTGGGCCATCTGTGTTGAATTTCTGAGTTTCCATATTCATTTATTTCTTGAGAAACTTTACCCTGCTGGATAGCCCTGCTTGTTCCGTGCGTCTGCTTAGGATTGTGAAGGTTTGCTGGAATTGGCCCTTTGATTCCTCAGAGGTTTGTGTTGAAGCTCCTTAGTACAGATTTCTGTCAAAGTAGTTCAAGTTTGACGTTGTAGGTAACAGGAAAAGTTAACTAACTTTTGAGGCCCAGTCCACCTCCAGTTGAAGTCATTGGGAATTGTGAGCGGGCCTTAGGGTATACTGCGGTAGTTTCCATAATTGCAATGATGATTTTTCTTTTAGACTGGTCGTTGTGGACCTGTGGGATCTGTTGCCTTCTGTATGTTCCATGAAAGGTAAATAGAAGAGCAAGTCGTTTGGCAAGGAGGCTTTGTTTGTCTGCCCAGCTTCACTGCATAATTGGATCTTTTTTTCTTTAATAGATCTGCAAACTGAACAATGTTGAAAGTGATTGGAGAATGTACCTTTAAAATGTTACCATTGTTTAAACCTTTACAAGTACTATCCTATTTATTCCTTTGAAGAAGGAAACCTTTTGGTTGTGGAGATGGAACAGTCCTGGAGGAGTAAGAGGTCTTCCTTTTACATCATTATTGTTTCTCTTGTGTGTGATAGTTTTATGTAATTTCAAAGGGGAGTGGACCATTACTGGGTAGTGGACAAACACATTTTGTTGAGGAGATACAAGCTAAGCTTAGATATCCACATCTTCAAGGTTAGAAACAAATAATTCCTTGACTTAAGTACAGTGGACACCTCGTATTAGGTTTTGCTTTAAATTTAACTTCCATGACTTCAGTGAATTGCATGATTAGGACTTTTATTTGTGATAATTCAGTCCAAGCTACATTCCTCTGGGGTATGGTTTTCTCACTACATTATCTCTGATGCAATATAAGCCTAGCAATATATGCTGCAGAGGCATGGATGTCTGCATCTATGTGGTATAGTATAAAAAGTTCTCTTGCTGTTTTTTCGTAGATAAATAAATATATACACTCTCTGTTCAAATTTTTGACTTAGATGCCTCCACAGGTATTTCCTCAGAGGCTCTCACATGTGCACGCACACACATTTTCCCATCTGGATGGCAGGAACAGCTGTAGGGCTCCGGAG